TCAAATAAAATGCTTATTGGAATATTTCAGATTGTGAATTTTAAAGTTAGGAAGGCTGAACCAGAAGGTATAATGCAAACATTCCAAAATCTGAAAAAATCAAAAATTGAAACTAATGTATGGTCCCAAGCATTTCAGACAAGGGATATGCAATCTGTATTATTTCTTTGAGTACAAGAAAGAGGAAAAACAAATAACGTCATTATACTATTGTCAAAGCAAAAATTGCACATGGCAAAGTAAAACAGACAAGAAGAATTTTATTTAAGCTATTGAAGCTGCCTCATTATCTGGGGTGATACCCAAGGTTTGTTGTCTCACAGCCACGGAAAACTAGGATGCAGACACACAAAGAGTGAGGTTCAGAACAAAAAATTAATAGGTGAAAGAAAGAAAGTAGTTCTCTGCTGCAGAGAGAAGGGTCCCAAACAGATTTCCTGGTGCATGGAAAAACGCAGAGGTTTATAGATGACATTGAGGAGGCAGTGTCTCATCTATAAAGAGCACGAAAAATTCGTTGGAACCGGTGTGTCACTTGCTTAAGGTGCAAAAAACTGATTAGGGCTAGGTGTTCCATCTGCATCGGGCGTGAAAAGCACGCTGGCTCCTGCACCTCCCAGCAATCTTCTGTTGCATAGATGTGTTCTTTACCTGGCCAGCACCGTGTTGCCTGTTGCTTTACTGTACACGTGGTAACAAAGGAAAGGGAAGATGGAGCCTCTATCTTGAACATACCTGGCCCTCAGCTCTTTTCTTTTTTTTTTTTTTTTTTTAATTTTTATTGGATTTTAGGTTTTGGGGTACATGAGCAGAGCATGCAAGACAGTTGCATAGGTACACACATGGCAGTGTGCTTTGCTTTTCTTCTCCCCTTCACCCACATTTGGCATTTCTCCCCAGGCTATCCCTCCCCACCTCCCCCTCCCACTGGCCCTCCCCTTTTCCCCCAATAGACCCCAGTGTTTAGTACTCCCCTTTCTGTGTCCATGTGTTCTCATTTTTCATCACCCACCTATGAGTGAGAATATGCAGTGTTTCATTTTCTGTTCTTGTGTCAGTTTGCTGAGGATGATGTTCTCCAGATTCATCCATGTCCCTACAAACGACACAAACTCATCATTTCTGATTGCTGCATAATATTCCATGGTGTATATGTGCCACATTTTTCCAATCCAGTCTATTATCAATGGGCATTTGGGTTGATTCCAGGTCTTTGCTATTGTAAACAGTGCTGCAATGAACATTTGTGTACATGTGTCCTTATAGTAGAACGATTTACAGACTTTTGGATATATACCCAGTAATGGGATTGCTGGGTCAAATGGAATTTCTATTTCTAAGGCCTTGAGGAATCGCCACACTGTCTTCCACATTGGTTGAACTAATTTACACTCCCACCAACAGTGTAAAAGTGTTCCTTTTTCTCCACATCCTCTCCAGCATCTGTTGTCTTCAGAGGCAACACAACATACATACAACTATACAATCTTTGATAAACCTGACAAAAACAAGCAATGGGGAAAGGATTCCATGTTTAACAAATGGTGTTGGGAAAACTGGCTAGCCATGTGCAGAAAGCAGAAACTGGACCCCTTCCTGACACCTTACACTAAAATTAACTCCAGATGGATTAAAGACTTAAACATAAGACCTGGCACCATAAAAACCCTAGAAGGAAATCTAGGCAAAACTATCCAGGACATAGGAGTAGGCAAGGACTTCATGAACAAAACACCAAAAGCATTGGCAACAAAAGCCAAAATAGACAAATGGGACCTAATGAAACGCCACAGCTTCTGCATGGCAAAAGAAACAGTCACTAGAGTGGATCGGCAACCAACAGAATGGGAAAAAATTTTCGCAGTCTACCCATCTGACAAAGGGCTGATATCCAGAATTTACAAGAACTCAAACAGATTTACAGGAAAAAAACAAACAAGCCCATTCAAAAGTGGGCAAAGGATATGAACAGATACTTTACGAAAGAAGACATATATGAGGCCAACAATCATATGAAAAAATGCTCATGGTCACTGGTCATCAGAGAGATGCAAATCAAAACCACATTGAGATACCATCTCACGCCAGTTAGAATGGCGATCATTAAAAAATCTGGAGACATCAGCTCTTTTCTATTGGCACAGCTGCCAGCATTTACCTGTGTAAGCTTCTAGCTTGCTCATCTACGTTTGCAGCTTGGATTTCAGGCTAAACTTTGTTTAAAAAGAAATGATTTGGGGGTAGCTTTTTGTTAAAAGGGAAGCCATGCTGAGGACTCTCTTAGCCTCACTACCTGCCTAAATATATTTCTTTCTACCTCTGTCACTACTGTACTTGGGTGAAAGACTAAACTCAACTCCACCAAAATAAAACGTGGAATAGTTTTTAAGCACTAGGTGAACTAACAGGAAGGTACGGAAGAAATTACAGGAAAGGTTGATTAAAGGAATGTGAGGGGCACATAGTCATTACTGAGTTTGCAAATGCTTTTGTCCTGCATGAGGCCATTTGTGTTTGCTCATCAACCCCTGTTTAGTTTAAGTTAGGCTTCTAATCTCTCCTAAGACTGGGAGGTAGGGGTGATTCCTTCCTTAATAACAACAGATCCGAAGAGATGGCTCCCAAATCTTTGAGAAAGTGCTGGGTTGTAAAACTGCCAAGAGGCTTTTAAAGAGATGTGTATCTTAAAGGGACAGAGTGAGAATTTGAAATTATAAGTTTGCTGAAGTCAATGGACAATTAAAAGGGGGATTAGGGCCAACAGATAGAAAAACAATTGCCTTAATTTTAGTTAAATTGAGGGAAACTTTAAGGCTCATTTGTTAACTGTTTATGTGTTGTTTTTTTATTGGTACTAGGTTGAGAACCAAATCAAGAGGTTGCAACATATTATGCTGAATTTCCTACTAAATAAATAACTATGTATTTGCAAATTTCTCATAATCCCACACTTAAAAACAATATTCATTGCTCCAGGTTTTATAAAAAAACAAACACAGATTTTCTTTCTTTTTTAAAATATTTATTTTCTTTCCAACGTTTACGTTAAATCTGTGCCATGTGGATTGCTGCACACATCATCCCATTACCTAGGTATTAAGCTCAGCATCCATTAGCTATTCTTCTTTATGCTCTCCCTCCTCCCACCCTTCCAGCCTCTAAGAGGCCCCAGTATGTGCTGTTTCTCTCTGTGTCCATGTCTTCTCATCATTTAGCTCCCAATTATTAATAAGAACACATAGTATTTGTTTTTTATTGCCTGCATTAGTTTGCTGAGAATAATGGCTTCCAGCTCCATCCATGTTTCTGTAAAAGATACAATCTTTTTTTTTTTTTAATAGCAGCATGGTATTCAAAAGTACATATGTACCACATTTTCTTTATCCAGTCTATCCTGGATGGGAATTTAGGTTGATTCCATGTCTTTGCTATTGTGAATAGTGCTACAATGAACATATGTGTTGATACATATTTATAATAAAATAATTTGTATTCCTTTGGGTATATATTCAATAATGAGATTGTTGGGTCAAATATTTTTCTGCTCCTAGGTCTTTCAGGAATTGCCACAGTGTCTTCCACAAGGTTTGAACTAATTTACACTACAACCAACAGTGTAAAAGTGTTCCTTTTGCTCCACAACCTTGCCAGAATCTGTTGTTTTTGACTTCTTGATAATAACCATTCTGATGGATGTGAGATGGTGGTACATTATGGTTTTGATTTGCATTTCTATAATGATCAATGATGTTGAGCTTTTCTTCATGTTTGTTGGCTGTATGTATGTCTTCTTTTGAGAAGTGTCTGTTCATGTCCTTTGCCCACTTTTTTTTTTTTGAGACCAAATGTCGCTCTTGTTATCCAGGCTGGAATGCAATGGTGCAATCTTGGCTCACCACAACCTCTGCCTCTTGGGTTCAAGCAATTCCCCTGCCTCAGCCTCCCTAGTAGCTGGGACTACAGGCTGTGCCACCATGCCCAGCTAATTTTTGTATTTTTAATAGAGAAGGGGTTTCACCATGTTGACCAGGATGGTCTTGATCTCTTGACCTCATGATCCACCTGCCTCAGCCTGCCAAAGTACTGGGATTATAGGCAGGAGCCGCTGCGCCTGGCCCTACTTTTAAATAGGGTTGTTTGTTGTTTTCTTGTATATTTGTTTAAGTTCATTATAGGCACTGGATGTTAGACTTTTGCAGGATGGATAGATTGCAAAAATTTTCTCCCATTTCATTCACTCTGATTATTGTTTTTTTAGCTGTGCAGAAGCTCACTGGTTTAATTAGATCCACTTTGCCAATTTTTGCTTTTGTTGCAATTGCTCTTGGCCTGTTGCTCAGGAATTTTTTTGCCTATGCCTATGTCCTGAATGGTATTGCCTAGATTTTACTTCTAGGGTTTTGATAGTTTTAGGTTTTACATTTAAGGCTTTAATCCACCATAAGTTGATTTTTGTATATGGTGTAAGTAAGTGATCCAGTTTTAATTTTCTGCCTATGACTACCCAGTTCTCCCAGCATCATTTATTAAACAGAGAATCCTTTTCCTATTGTTGGCTTTTGGCAGGTTTGTTGAAGATGAGATGGGTGTAGATGTGTGGTCTTATTTCTGGGTCCTATAGTCTGTTCCACTTGTCTATGTGCCTGTTTTTATACCTGCACCCTGCTCTTTTAGTTACTGTAGCCTTTATTATAATTTGAAGTCAGGTAGTGTGATGCCTGTAGCTTTTGCTTTTTATTTTTTCCTTGCTTAGGATTGTGTTTGTGGCTATACAAGCTTTTTTTGGTTCCATATTAATTTTAAAATAGTTTCTTTTTTCTAATGCTGTGAAGAATGTCAATGGTAGTTTAATGAGAATAGCATTGAATCCATAAATTGCTTTTGGCAGTATGGACATTTTCACGATGTCAATTCTTCCTATGCATGGAATGATTTTTTATTTGTTTGTGTCATCTCTAATTTCTTTAGCAGTGGTTTGTAGTTCTTCTTGAAGAGGTCCTCAAAATATGGAATGCTTCATAAATTTTGCATCATCCTTGCACAGGGGTCATGCTAATCTTCTCTATATTGTTCAAATTTTAGTATATATGCTGCTTAAGTGAGCATTATTAAAGATTTTCTACAAACAATATCACATATATACAGGTAGCCCTAAAATTCTATCTTGCATGGCCACATTTTCAAGACGATATTATTTCTTAATCATATCCTATCTTTTTCTACACTCAATGTATTTTCTTCTAGTCAAAAATATTTTTAAAATTGGGACTTGAAGGCTATGGTTGTAGGACACAATTATATTTGCATCTTAATTTTTCAGTATGATAGTTGTACTTATTTGTATGTGTTTGTAAAGTCAGCAGTATAACAATAATAGATCACATAAATGATAGTGGTCCCATGAGATTACAGTGGAGCTGAAAAATTCCTGTCACCTAGTGATATCATAGCCATCTAAACATAATGGTTCAATGCGTTGCCTACATATTTGTGGTGATGTTGGTGTAAACAATCCTACTATGCTGCCATTTGTACAAAAGTATAGCATGTACAATTACATACAGTATACAGTACATGATAGTGTCACGAGATCCTGGGGGTGTTGCTTTTCTGGCCAGAAACCTCCGTGGCCAGTGGTGCCTTTGCCTGGGTTTTGCTCAGGCCTGTTTGGCTCGTTGCACCCATTCAGCCTGGCAGGCTGTGTTCAAATTACACTACTGGCCTGGATTCCACACCTGCCAAGTGTGCAAAATAGGTGTCATTTCCTTGTGAGACTGCGGCTGGACCAGGCATACTCCAAGCAGTCTCTGTAGCTGGCACTGGGGAATGTGATGCACCCAAAAGCTGGGAGATTCCAGGAACCACAGAGTCCCCAAGAGGATGTCACAGCCCTGGGTCAGGGAGCTGCTAGGTCTTGGGTCCCCAAAGGGCTGGAGCTCATTTCTTTTTCTCTCCTCTACTTCTCATTACCTGCATCATGGCAAGCACGGGGTGAGTTTCAGCCCTCTTTGTCTTACAGCTCTTTCAGCCCTGCCATTTGCTGAGTCCTGTTTCTAGGAAGAATGAAGCACATGAACAAATGGAGGGCGAGCAAGGCAAAGTGGTGCATTATTGACAGAACAGCTCAGAAGGGACCCACAGTGGGTAGTTCCTCTCCTCAGGCAGGCCATCTCGATAAGTGTCCAGCTGTCAGCAGAGTGAAGACCCACAGTGGGTAGCCCCTCTTCACCAGCAGGTCCTCCAAACACCCTTTTAGCTCTGAGCAGACTAGGCAGAGAGGAAACCCACAGTGGGCAGGTCCTTTCCACAGGCAGGACATCTTGACTTCTGTTCAGCTCTCAGAGGAGAATGGTTTTTAAGGGATTCAGAGGGGAGGAAGTGTGTGCTGATTGGTCCATGGGCAGCCATGAGTGTGCCTGGAAAAAGCACCATATGTTCTCACTCCAGTCTATGGAACTGGCAGCCTGTCCCAGGCCTGAAGATGGGGCTTCACTTGGGAACCACTCCTTTCTACCCAGGAGCTTGTCAGCTTCTTGCTGCCATCACCATGCCATCCACAGGTCCAGGCTGTTTAGGCCAAGGTGTGCCTACCGGTCTGTGCTGGAGCCATCCTTAATAACCCCCTCAGCCTCTCTCCTGTATTGTTGGGGCCCAAAGTTTGGAGGGGACCAGGGCAGCAGAGAACTGGCATGTCAGCACCACCCTGAGCACAGGCACACCTGGATGGGTTGTAACAGGCACCTCAGCTCAGCCACAACTTTGTTCCAAAATCAAAGTGGGAGCCTGGAGTAGGGAGAGTCCAGGCATCAGGTGCAGGCCCTTCTGAGCCTGTAGGGGTGGGAGCCTTCCCAGAGAGCACAGGGATGCCTGGGTCTGCAGTTGTGGCTGGCAGCTGCAGCTACACCCAGGGAGGCAAGGTGCCTACCCTTCCAACTTGCAAGCGGGCAAGGCTTTCACCTGTTCCCAGCTCCTGCTGGCTCAGTGGAGCACACAGTCCTGGCTGCGCCTCTCTCTCTCTCTGCAGCCCATGTCATGGCAACTGCTACTGCAGATGGGCCGCTGCTTCCATGAATAATAATAATAATTGACTGTGTTACTGGTTTATGCATTTACTATATTATATTTTTTATCATCATTTTGGAGTATACTCTTTGTACCTATAAAAAGGTTACTGTATAATAGTTTGCTGTGTTACATTGCCAGCAGCCTCATACATCTCATTTATGGTGTAACTTGATTGCTCCATTTTTTCTTGTGCTTGGTTTAATCTCAGGTTCTTTTGTTCCTCCTGGTCCCTAAGCACACAAAATCCATGACTAATGTCAATAGGTGGTGTTGTCAATAAGTGATTGACTGGGAAACAAAAGTGATTAAGGACTACAAAGGTGGAAAATCAGAGGTGGTTATTGCTCATCAGTCTCATTTTGTCATAGCTACAATCATGAAGAACAAGAACAGAATGATAGAAGTTGTTTAGGAATCTGCTTGATTGAAGGCAAACAGGCTTACAAAACTTTGAGAATTACTTAGATTAGATGTGGAGAAACTTCTCATGACTGGTTTTAAAAGTAGACACAGAATTGTATCCTTCTAAGTATTGTGACAATCACAGCCAATGCAAAAAGTTTGTTTGCATCATTGAAAGAAAGAGTGAAGTTATTCCAGTTTCTAGCTTGGATGCAATTCTTGCTTTGATGCAAGCTTACTTATATGTATTCTTTTAAATTCTATTATTATTATTTTTATTTATTTGAGACAGGGTCTCACTGTCATGTAGGCTGGATTGCAGTGTCACAAACATGGCTCCCTGCAGCTTTGACCTCCTGGGATTGGGTGATCCTCCCACCTCAGCCTCCCAGTATTTTTGCCTCTGGTTTCTATGGATTTTTCTTGCTATCTCTCCAGCTCAACAATGTATTTGAAAATTATTTTTAAGACATGACTTATGAAGCATGTTCAAATATAATTGTTATTCTAGAGCCTATCTTCAGACAACTAGTCTATCATTTTTTTCAGAAACTGATAACCTATTTTGATGTAAAACAGTGTTGTATTTTATTAGGACCAGAATATTTAACTCACTCTATTGTATTTCAGGTCCTAAGAACCAATTAATGGAATCAAAACTAATTTGGGAAAGTAAATTCATTTATGAATCTGATTTATGCCATGTCAATTCAGATTTCTTAAATATAGAGTCTATGTATACAGCATGCCAATGGGTCTTGACTTTTTATCCAATTTGCCAGTCCGTGTCTTTTGATTGGGGCATTTAGCCCATTTACATCTAAGGTTAATATTGTTAGCAAGGACACACATAGGTTCAAACCTTTAGATTCTGAATAAACTAAACCATAGCTCCTCTAGGTCTCTAAGCTTACTGATTCACCCTGTAGTTCTTGGCACTCACCAGCCTTTATAATTGCATGTGCCAGTTGCTCATAATAAATCTTTCTATATACATGTGTGTATATGTGTGTGTTCAATTGGTTCTGTTTCTCTGGAGAACCCTGACTGATACAAAGTTATAAATATTTCAACTGGAAAAAATATAGAAGTGACTTCACTATGTATGTTATTTTTGGTGGGGAGCAAAAGATGACATCATAAACATAACTCAAGGCAAAGTTTTTTTTACTACAAATGCAAGATGAAGAAAAACCTTTTTAAATGCTTTCTTTACATGCTATGATTTTTCCTTGAGAGAGTTCCTGTTAATGATATATATTAAAAACTAATAGTATATTTCTATTAGTTAACACTATGTATAAACAAGCCACTAGCATCAGATAACACATTATCTCATAGTCTTTTATGCATTTAGCTTTTCAAAGGATTAGAGTGTGCATTGTTTTGCTGAAATAGAGATATTTTTACTTTATTGGATCATTTTCATAATTTTTTGATAACTGTATAATTAAGCAAAGGCACATTCCAAAATGTAGCTCTTTATATTATGTAGAATATGAAAAATTGCTAAGTGATCACCCTAGTAGTTTAAAAAATAGTAAAGCTATGAATGAAGCCATTATACATATTCTCATGACAAATATCCTACAAAATATAAATCAAATAAATAACAGCACTTATGAAGAAATTAAATTTTAAGCAGATGTTACTGAAAACATACTTGAGGTGTTTATGTTAAAATGTTTGCAAAAATCAGAACAGAATGCAAATGGTTGCTCATGTATAAAATGTTTTTTACATACTTTTTTTTAACTGGGACTAGAATCAGACAACACACAGTCCACATTTCTAGATACACAATTTAAAAAATGATTTTTCATTATTTGAAATAAAACAAATATACTATACCACACTTTAAAAGCTTTTACGAGCTTTAAACTATTTTCAGGTTTTACCAAGACATCTCCATTGCCTAATTTGTTTAGGGTAAATACTTCTGCTATTTGAATACCTTCATTCAAGTCAGTTCTGTACTGTCTACAGATTATCATACATTCCTAAAGAAGTAAAATTTTGAAGTGTATGTAACTATTGTCATACTCCTTAAAACCATCTTCAAAGTGTCAATTCTTGTCCTGGTCTAGGTGAACCTGTGTTCCACCCACTGTGTTTGAATTTCTATATTGACAATACTCAGGTATTCCTGGTGACGAAAATTCTAGTTCTCTTTTCCTTATACGCTTGATATTGACTTGATATCACCTAGATATTAATCTATTTCTTTGTAACTGTAATATAGAGCTACCATCATTCTGGTTTGTTCTTAGGAAAGTACAGACAATAAACAAGATGATTTGATTTTCAGTAAAGCTCTCTTATTCCCTTGCATACCTTAATGCACTTCTTGCCCCTTTATTGCATGAGCTTTGATTTCTTTTTCATGGTATTTTCATCAAAATCTCTGCTACTGCCATCATCATTTTTATTTTGGGAGCCACTCTTCTTTTTTTTTTTTTTTCTTTTTCAAAATCACTGTCATTGCCTGACACTTTTACTTCATCTTAGTTTACTGCAGTTTCACTCTCAATAATGCCATCTGCCTGATTCTGTAGAAACTATTTCACTGGAACAATGACATGAACACACACACACACACACACACACACACACACACACACATATTTAGCAGTTTTCTT